TCCTGAGTTAGAAAAACGCTTTTTTATACATTATTTCTTTGTTAAGACCTAGACACCCTCTGCAAGTTAGTTGACTTGAATTTGTGTTTTTAATCCCCATTTTACGAAAAAGAGGCTCAGAGAGGCAGTGATTTGTCAAAGCCAGGAGAGCAACTGAAACTTCTCTCTGTATTTCTCAAAGTTAATCAATCTCTGGTCACATTAAACTTTAGTAAAGCCATATATGTATATTGTCATCAGGTGCTTGTTAAAAATAACCAATATTTACCAAGAGCTTACAAGAGTAAAGAGTAATATCTTATGTACTGGATTCCCTGCTGAAAGAGTTTATAATCTAATTGGGCAGACAGGAAGTATCTATAAAAAGAGCAATAAAGTTACCCATAAATCCTACAATAGGTCAAGTGTGAGAGCAATCTTCAGAAGCAGAGGAAGGAATCAGGAAATTATTGCAAATTTATTCTGTTTCTAGGTGTTATAAAAGATTGCACTAGATGTCATTAAGAAAACACTGTCTGAAGTTTCTATCACAGGATATTAGTGTGTACAGTTGGTGTTAAGACTAGTACACCAAAATAAAAGGGCAAATGTTAGGAAAGCCTTAGTAGGGGATGCAGTAGCAAAACCCTGCCGGTCTGTTTTCCGCACTGACGTTGTAATCATCTCGTAAAATACAAATGTGACCATTCTGCTTTCCTGTTTAATTCTCTTCAGTGGCTCCCCGTATGGCTAAAAATAAATAATACCTACAAGTTCTTAGTATATGATGAAGCACTATGCTGAGTAAGGGTCAGCATGCATTATGCTCTTTCATCCTCACAGCTACCCTAACGGGAAAGTATTATTAGGTTCCTCATTTCGTAGATGAGGAACACTAAGAATTAGGGAAGTTACTAGCTTTCCCAAGGCCGCAGAGCTGGTCAGTGACAGAGCTGGGATTCCAGGCCCTGCCAGGCTCTCACCCCCTCCTCAGGAACCCCTTAGTCATGTGTAGAAGGCCCTTCTTGAGCAGGCCCTTCCCCGTTCCTCCTCCTGCGGGAGACTCTTACTCATTTTAAGACTGCACCCCATCTCCAGGCCCGCCCGGAGACCCCCGCATCTCCCGGGCTTGCTCCTGTTTTCAGGTCAGCACAATATGTTGTGCTTGTGTTTACCTCTGTCCCTCTCTCCCACCGCCGGACTCGATAGCAGGGACTGCGTGTGCTTCTTCGCCATTGAATTACTGATCATCAAGAACACATCCCATCCAGTGGCTGGTGCTAAATTTATAGTTGTTGGAGTAAAAAAAAAAGAATGTCTTTATCTTCAGTATAACTCTGTAATGTAGCATTTTATCTTCTTTCCTATCATCCCTCAGGTTGATATTTAAGGCTCTCTGTAATCTGTTGCTATCCGAGAGTCTCATGGGCTCTTTGGCCCCAGTATTAACTTTTTAAGGATCTCCTTCTGTCTTTTCTTTCCCCTATCTGGGAATAGTTTTCCCATCATCTTTGCCTAAGGCACATCTTACACATCTTTCAAGGTTCGAGTTAAGGCCCTCGTACTTCTGACAACTCCTGTCGGAAGCTTGAGCTCTCTACTCTGATCTCCAGAAGTACCCCGTTCTCTGTGATATTTTTTGTTAATTAATTCTGCAGTGCTGTGTAGTTTCTCTTCTGTTATTCTTCCGACTTTTCATTTAAATCTTTTGTGTTTTGGACGCATCTTGTGAATTATAAAGCAAGTTTTTGAGACCCAAGACCAAGACCGAGTTTTTGGCATCCCTGTCTAGCAGTTGCTCAATGCATGGAGAGGCAGTATCTGCTAAGAACATAATATATTCAGGTTTAAGGCTCTCTTTTCTTAAAAAATGGACTCCCTTTCCATACTCATATATTTGTGAATAGCTCCATATATGTTTGAGCAATTTTAACTTAAATACTTAATAAAGCTACCAGTTGTTTTTTAAAAAATGTATCTTTATTGATTTCAGAGAAAGGGAGAGAGAGAGAAACATCAATGATGAGAGAGTCATTGATCAGATGCCTCCTGCGTGCCCCTGACTGGGAATCCAGCCCGAAACCCAGGCATGTGCCCTGACTAGGAATCAAACCACGATCTCCTGGATCATAGGTCAGTGCTCAGCCACTGAGTTGCGCCAGCCAGGCAGAGCTATCAGTTTTAACAAGAATGATTTCATTGTCTCTCATCAGTAATTCAGAAATGCCTGCTAGTTGAATGACTAAGTGTAGGTACTGGTAAAATGTCTGTCCAGGTTTTAAAAGTCTGTGTTAAATGTTTAAAATAATGCTGTTGATTACCATCATTACAGAGTGATAGGTGAGAAAACTATTCTGCTTTTCTAAAAAATAAGCAAAAGCCCTCCTTAGTCAGTTAAGATGAACTATAAACCTACAATAGAGATTTCTCAGAGTTCATATGTTTAATTCTGTATACAATTGGAAATGTCATTTCTCTTTTTTTAAAGTTTCTTTTCAAAAAATCTTTAAGACTCAAATTTAAAACAACATATTAGCTTAATGGGTTTATGTTGGTGGAGTACTTAATAAACAGAACCTCCCCTTGATTTGTAAGCAGATTAATTACTTCATCCAGCATGTAAATATTTTTACTGCCCTTTATATTTGTTCTATCAATCCTTATGGCAGATTAAATGTAATCTAAGTCAGCCAAAGCATGCCCTACTTTGGAACATATTTTAATTTTATTAAAATACAGAGGTTTTGGGGGGTTCATTTGTTTCTTTTGGCCCTAATTCTATGATTACACAGATGCCCATATAGTTACACTTTATTTTGTTTCTATGTTTACAATGTGATTATTTCAGTCCCTTTTCATCAAAATCTAAATATGACCTGGAAATATTAAGTCTAAACATTAACGACCTGAATTGAAGCTAAAAGATTTGTTTGTATTTTTAGATTTGAAATTCATAGAAAAGTTACTGAATGTGACAGCCGTATAAAAGTTACTGAATGTTATATTGCAGGAACATTTACTGAACTACTTTGCATCCGTTGATACTTAGAGAACTACTCTTTGCCCAGCACTGGAGTCTGGAGATTTTCTCCGAGGTGTTTTTTTTTCCATAAAAGTTTTATAGTTTTACATTTTACATTTAAATCCATGATCTATTTTAAGTTAATATTCCTGTAAGGTACAAGACTTAGGTTGATGTTTATTTTTTGCCTATTGATGTCTAATTGCTCCAGCACCATTTGCTGAAAAGGTTACCTTTGCCCCACTAAACTGTATTTACATCTTTTTCAAAATCAGTTGGGAATATTTGTGTGGATATATTCCTGGGTTCTTCTGTTCCATTGATCTGTGGGCCTGTCCTCTGTCAGTATTACACAGTCTTGATCTCTGTGTAGCTGTATAGTAAATCTTCTTTTTCAAAATTGTTTTAGCTATCCTACTTCCCTTTCCTTTTCATATACATTTTAGAATAATCTTGTCTATAGCTATAAAAAGTCTTGCTGAGATTGAGATAAGTATTGTGTTAAACCTGCATACAAATTTGAGGAGAATTGAAATCTTTTTTTTTTTTAATGTATCCTTATTGATTTCAGAGAGAGGAAAGGAGAGAGAGAGAGAGAGAGAGAGAGAGAGAGAAACATCAATGATGAGAGAGTCATTGATCGGCTGCCTCCTGCATGCCCCCAACTGGGGATCCAGCCCGAAACCGGGACATGTGCCCCGACCGGGAATCGAACCCGGTCCTAGGTCGACACTCAGCCGCTGAGCCACGCCCAGCCGGGCAAGAATTGAAATCTTTACTGTGTTGGTTGTTGAATCTGTGAACATGATATGTCTCTTCATTTATTTAGACCTTTGATTTCTTTTATCAGGATTTTGTGGCTTTCAGCATACAGTCCTATACATTTTGTCAATTTATAACTAATTCTTTTAGCAACTGTAAGTGGTATTATATTTTAAATTTTGGTGTCCATGTGTTCATTGCTAGTATATAGAAACACAACTAATTTTTTGTATGTTTATCTTGTATCCTGTGAACTTGTTTAATTCACCTATTGGTTCTAGAAGATTTTGGACATTTCTTGGGATTTTCTACATAGATGATCATTTCAAATAAAGACAGTTTATATCTTCCTTTTGGATCTGCATAACTTTTGTTTCCTTTTCTTATAGCCCTGGCTAGAACTTCCAGCACTATGTTGCGTAAGAGTGGTGAGAACAGGTAGTCTTGCTTTGTTCCCGATACAGAGAAAAAGCATTCAGTCCTTTACCATTAAGTGTACTGTTATCTGCAGATTTTTGTAGGTGATCTTTATCAAGGTGAGGCTCCCCTCTTTCCCTGTTCTTCTGAGACTTTTCATGAATAAGTGTTTAATTTTGTCAAGTGCTTTTTCTTCATCGGTTGATAGGATCATATTTTTTTTCTTTTTAGCATCTTGATATGGTCAATTACATTGATTGATTTTCAAATATTGCACTTTGGAATAGATCCAACTTGGCCATAATGTATAATTCTTTTTAGAGACTGCTAAATTTTCTTTTCTAATATTTTGCTGGGGATATTTGAATCTGTATTTATAAGGGATATTGTTCTGTAGCTTTCTGGTTGTTGGACTGTCTTTTTCTCTGAATGTAGGATTCTGGGTTGACAATTCTTTTCTTTCAGCACTTAAAAATATTGTGCCCCTTCCTTCTGGTGTCCATGGTTTCTGATAAGAAATTGTGATTTGGGGAGTCGTTTTCCCCCTATTGGTAAATTGTAATTCCTGTTTCACGGTTTTCCAGATTTCTTCTTTGTCTTTGGTTTTCATTTTCTTAAACGTCAATCCATAAAAGTACATCTGGCCTAGCTGGTGTGGTACAGTGGTTAGAGCATCAGCCTGCAGCCTGAAGGGCAGGTACCTTGACTGCAGGGTGGATCCTGGGCCCCGATGGGGGCATGTGTGGGAAGCAACTAGTCGATGTGTGTGTCTCACATCAGTGGTTCTCTCTCTCTCTCTGCCCCCCTTCTACTCTATCTGAAAAGCAATGGAAAAAATATCCTCAGGCAAGGATTAATACAAAACCAAAAAAAAGCATATCTGCAGAAATGTATGTAATATAAGCTATAAGAAGGCTGTTTCCTTACCAGGATGTCCGTGTCATGGCTGTAGTGACCAAGTTTTGTTGCAAATATGCAATTGACTCCCTGTTTCTCATTGCATTTGTGCTTGTAGTTAAGAACTTTCTGGTTTTTTTCCTAGAAACTGAACAGTTTTAGCTACCTTTATTTTCTAAAAATTCTAGACTTTATAGTTCAGTGGATGTCTTTGAACAGTAAAACCGAGAAACTATAAATACTATTTCTTTTCAATTCCCTATATTTGGTTTAGACATAATCCCTATCATTTGGACATCTTTCGTAGGAATCGGTGAAAAGATTCGAATGAACCTGAGCTATAAACCTGTCATTGGAAGATGTAATTAGCCAGTCAGTGGCCACAAAGGATATTTGATTTTTTTGAAAGCTTTTTAAAATCAGTATTATATGGCTGCAAGTGATAAATGGTGAGAATTCACTTTCACAATTACTATTTTTCAGCTATAGTTTGAAACTCCTGTTTCCTGCAAGATGAAGCTTTATAGTTCAATATTGTCAATTTCATCACTAAGCCATTTTTTAAATTTTACTTTACAGATCAACAATCAAGACTGTGAAGGTCACACTTTCTGATGGTGGTGACGAGCCATGGCGACCGATGATAAAGTTGCCATCTTAACTGATGACGAGGAGGAACAAAAGAGAAAATACGTGCTCGCTGATCCTTTTAATGGTATTTCCAGGGAACAAGAGCCACCTTCTAATGAAACACCCTCCTCCACAGAAACAAATGCTATTCCTGAAGAGGAAATAGACTGGATAGAGAAACATTGTGTTAAAATAAACAATGATCTTCTCATTTCCAAGGTCTTCTACTTTTTCTTTTACGCTGCATATGGCTCTCTTTACCCACTTCTGCCCGTATATTACAAACAGCTGGGAATGTCACCAAGCCAGAGTGGGTTGCTAGTAGGTATTCGATACTTCATTGAATTCTGCAGCGCCCCCTTTTGGGGTGTAGTTGCAGATCGCTTTAAAAAAGGCAAAACTGTCCTCCTCTTTTCTCTTCTGTGTTGGGTTTTATTCAACCTGGGCATTGGGTTCGTCAAACCTGCTACCTTGAGATGTGTACCAAAGATCCCCCCGACAGCTCGCCCCGCCAATTCAAGTCACCTGATAACCATCCTGCCAGTGAATTCTTCCGTTACGTCTTCCATTACCGCATCACCAAGAACGCGTGAGAAAAGAAACCTGCTGCTTTCCAGTGGGCCAGTGATGGCAGACACAGGGCCCAATGTCACAGAAACGTTAATCTTCTCGACGGCTCTAAACAAGACCAGCACGCCCACTCTGCAGCCTCAGACAGGTGAAGTTACAGGCCAGATTAATGACGTGACCTTGCATCCGAGCGCTGGAACCCCTGTCCCCCCCGAAATTGTAACCAGAGAGACAACCACTCCTGTCATCACTACCACCAAATCTTTACCTTCTGACCAAGTCGCTCTTGTTTATGATCAACAAGAAGTAGAAGCTATATTCTTGGTGATCTTAGTAGTTGTCATTATAGGAGAATTTTTCAGTGCCTCTTCTGTCACCATTGTGGACACGATAACCCTCCAGTATCTGGGAAAACACAGAGACCGGTATGGATTGCAGCGCATGTGGGGCTCCCTGGGCTGGGGCCTGGCAATGCTGTCCGTGGGCATCGGGATTGACTACACCCACATAGAAGTGCTGGTTTACGGAAAGGGGTGTAAGGCCCCTGAGTACCGCAACTACCAGATTGTCTTCATCGTCTTTGGAGTTCTCATGACCATGGCCTTGATTGTCGCTACTCAGTTCCGATTCCGCTACAACCACTTCAAAAATAATGGCAATAAAGGAAAAGAGGTGGAAATCCCTCAGGTGGAGAGAAACAGCCCCACTGAGTCCTCTGAGGAGACACCAACCACGACAAGCCCCTCGCAGACTGTCAGCTTTTGGGACTTAATCAGACTGCTTTGCAGTGTGCAGTATGGCTCGGTGCTGTTCGTGGCTTGGTTTATGGGCTTTGGATACGGCTTTGTGTTCACCTTTCTCTACTGGCATTTGGAGGACCTGAATGGAACCACAACCCTCTTTGGAGTGTGTTCAGTCCTGAGTCACGTGTCTGAGCTGACAGCTTATTTTTTTAGTCACAAGCTTATTGAGTTGATTGGCCATATCAGGTAAGAACCTTACTACATCTACCCCATAGCAATTGAACCTATCTTTTCATAGTTTTTTAGCTCCTTTGTCACATTTGTGGATATTATAATTTGTGTTGGGGTGGGAATAAGGCTTTCTGTTGCTTTCTCTTTTAAAAAGAAATGAAAGGAAATAATGAACCTAATTGGATTATCTAAACCAAACAAACAAAATACGCTGCTTCCTCTCAGCATGCTCAGAGACTCTTACAGTAAATGTTTTGAGGCATAGGAACATCAATTTAATGAGCTATATTACCCACAGACCTTGAAGGATTCACCCAACTCAGGCATTTATGGAGGAGGGCTTAAGTGGATAAAGAGGATTATGTTTTTTCAGCCTTCACTTATTCTCAGCCACTTGCTGACACAAATAGACCTTGAATATGCGCTGTATAAAGATGTCTATTATATTTAATAAGGCTGTGATGTGACCCACCATAATCCCTAATTCATGATATTACATGGGGGAAAATTCTTATATAATATTTTCCTGATTATTACATGAGTTTCTGTATTTTTATCTACCATGAAGACATGGGACATTTAAAAAATCTTCCTTCTACCTAAACTTTCACATGTAATCCTTTAATCAAAAATTCTAAATGCCTAGTGTTTCTTCCTTGTAATGTTTCTCACCATCAATGTTTGTCTGAAGTTGATCAAACAGTACCTTGCTCTTTATAAGTCTTTTGCTTTGTCATTTGCTCTACAATGAAGAGCTAGCTACACTAAAACCATTCTTACCTCATAGAAAATACATGTCTGTTCCTAAAATTAGAAGTTGCCATAACAAAAAAAGCAACTGTGTGTTTGTGTGTATATGGTAATCTTTATATCTGCTGTTTCTGTGAGAAATTAGAAAGGAGAAATAGATACTGACAAGATGTGAGAAACATTGATCTCTTTTCTTTTAATTTTCCTTTTACTAACCGAAAAGAATATTTTCTAATTTAAAGTTACGAACTAGAATCATTCTTTTCCCCAAACAACTATAAATATTTTTCCATGTTTGGTTTGGTTTTGCTTTGCTTTGGGAGGCTGTGCCCTGTTCCTTCTCTTTCTCAAATCGTTCACCCCCTTGTTGTCACTAAACAAAGCCAGGCACTGTGTGGATGGTTCCCAGATCCAGAGTCCACAAGGCACTTTCAGTGGGGCCAACCTGCAAAGAGTTTTATAATATTAAGGACTTGGAATGGCCTCTAACCTTGTCCAGGTCATGTTTACTTTCTCTGAGCTGTGTAGATTGACAAAATGTGCGAGACATTTCTCTTCAGATCGGGTGTATGAGTGTAATTCCTCCTCAGCTATTAAAATCAGTCATTTATTTCCAGAAAGTTACCAGGTTAGGTCTCACCAGTGAGAGGAATTCCCAGGTGTCATTATTTAATCAGTCAATAGAATTAATTGAATGTTGACTGAGTACACAATATGTGTATAGGTTCTATTTTCAAAGAAATTGTCCAGTTCTTCTCATATGCTAAAAGAAGTTTCTTTTCTGTCTTTGCCTTTTGTCAGAGGAATATTTTTTCATGATAAAATCCTAGCATGTTTATGACTAATTTTGGTAATTATATGAGCTTACACTTGTGTTTTTCTTTCCTAAGCATTATTAGTTACTCATTACTTAAAAACCTACAGCTTACTTAATTTTTCTGGTTTTACGTACAATAAGCATCTTCCTTTTCTTAATGATGTGATGGAAGAAGGCTCTGTGGTCACGTTGTTGCTCCCAAGAGCCTACTGTGATTCCATCAATCTGTGATCATTTACCTCTTTTGGATTTTAATTCTGTCCATTACAGTGTATTGTCTTAACCACTGTAAAAATCATTCTCATAGCTGTAGTGAGACTATGCTTCCCACATATTCAGGTAGAATGAATATGTATGTTTTTTGTGCATGAGAATTTTGGGAGCCCAATCAGGTGGTGGTGGTTGAGGTTTGGGGGTTTGGAAATTTGGTGGTGACAGTTGAAACTTTTCATTGGAAAAATATTATACATTAAGTAACTGATGAACAGAAGTTATTTTTTTATGGATTCATGGTCTTTATGCTTTCCTTGTTGGACCATAAGGAGGATCACTGTGTAGCTCTTACCTATGCATATAGGTTTTTTCAATATTCTGTGACTGTTTCATTGGGAGTTTGTGTTTAGGGGTCAGCACTACCATAAAAATTGTAAACATCCTAATGTAGTCAAAAGTGGATTTTCCACAAATTCTTTATATTCATAATAAAAATTCCTATCAGAAAATAATTTTTGAAAACCCAATGTTCAATTTTGATCCACTTAGTATTTTAATAGCTCTGACAGTTAGGCCCTGTTTTTCAAGGAATAACCTATCTATCAGTCTAAATACACACACAAATGCACACACACACATGAATAGAGTATGTGATTTCTGATTTTGACCTCGGATTTTGTTCTTCTATGGGAAGTGGCTTTCTCAGGTAAATAGGACAGTGTTTAATATTTCCACTAAAAAAGGTCAATTTCTTTTTATTTGAAATCACAACACTTTGGAATTTACAGCAAGTATATTTCTAGACTAGTTTTTGTAAAGATGATAACTAGGTGTCTTTAACTAGAAATATGAGTGTATCTTAAGGGTATATTCAATACCTTGCAGAATGTTTCAACAGCTGTGAGTAGGTTTGTGATCAGAATACATTGCAATTAATCATTTGTAAATGTGTAAATCATTACTATCCAATATTAGGCCATCACCTATGTTATTTGATTTAAATTTATTTACATTTTAAGGGACACACAAAAATCTACTCAGTCAACTCTGACTTTGCCCTGAAATTGTTACACTGCAGGTCAGTTTTGCCATGCACATGTTATTTGGAAGGGGTACTATATTAACCATTATTAGCCATTAATTACTACTTAATAGTAGCGAGGTATCCAAATGAGCTAGCCAATCAGCTTGGGAAAGAAGGAAACTCAGATGCCAATAGCCAGCGGAGGAACAAACAGGCTTTCCTGGTGGGGTCCTGCAGGAAGACCCAGAACAGATAGCAAGATGCTGGGCTACCAGCTGAGGACATGCGAGATAAACATATTTTCTTTGGAGGAAGAGCAGTTAGCAATATAAAAGGGAGGAAACTCTGCAGCTGGAGTGATCAGGGAAGGCTGTACAGAGAAAGGTGAATTTGAGCTGGCCACTGAAGGATCTAGAGAGGATCATGATTATAATTTCTTTCTTTCTTTTTCTTATTTCCTCTTTGGGCCATTTTTGATCCTGGATCCACTGGCTCTCAGAACCTCTCCTCACAATGCAGGGCAGGGTGCTGATTGCCGAAGTCTGCTTTTCCCAGGGCCTGGTCTCCTGGGTTCTGCCTGGGTTCAGCTCATGCAGGGGTTCTCTACCAATTGCTTCACCAGGAGAGCTTTAAAAACTCCTAATACCCAGACCAATTACACCAGGCTCTCTAGAGTATGCCCAGGCATTCATACTTTTTAACAGTCCTCAGTTGATTCCAATGTGCAGGCAAGGTTGACAACCACTGAGTTGGGGAAGGTACAGATGGAGGATTAGAGCGGGGAGGAAACATAGCTCGTGCAGCATCTTGTGTGAGCTTAGGAGAATGCTCTCTCCAATCCCCTGGCCTCTGCTGGTTTCCACACATGCATGTGTTGATCAGTACTCAGCTGAAAACTCGAGGGGAACCCTCTGCAGCTCTCTCGACTCCTGTACTCTGCCTTCTCTCCAGGCTCTCGGCCCTGTCTCCTCCACTCAGGAGCCCTCTGTGCCCTGTCAGGCAGTGTCTCTGAGAGCTGCCGCATCTCAGTAGGGCTCCACCCACGGTGGGTGACCTGAGCTCTGCCAACATGGCCTTCTAACCTAGACCTTGTAGAGGCTGCTGTGGTTCTCCCCCATGCTCTGGCTTCTCAGCTCTTCCGTCACGTATCTAACCTTGAATTAAGACATATTACTGCCTGTTTCCCTTATTAGACCCTGACTCATGCTTAGGAGGACTTCTGATAGCAGTGAAGTCCTTCACCACAGTGAAGGAGCAGAATGGAAACAGAATAGCTCAGTTCTTGATTAAAAGACGAAGAGATCGTAGACCCTAACCAACTCTTTTTTTCTTCTCATTTCTTAAGGGAATATTATTTCTTCCTTAAAAACAACTTTACCACAATAAAAAAAAATGTAACAACTTAGTTTTCATAGTAAATTTAAAATTATAAGTTGTACATGTTCTAAAGGAACAAGTATTACTCGGTGTCATTTAAAAACTGTTCAGGTTAGTTGAACAGTTATTGAGGCTTAGAGAATACCAGGTTAATAGGATGCAGAGATGAGCACTAAAACAGATGGGGGTGGGAAAAATGGGGGAGATGAAGGCCACGTGGGTGCTGGAATGGGAAACACGTACTTTTTCCTAGGGCAGTGGTGAACCCTAGCAAGGTGTAGAATAGGGAAGGGCCATAGATTTTCACTTTTTTTGGACATATTTGCAATGCAGTGGGTAACTCTGAAGGAGGGAGCCCACTGAGAAGGTTCTTAAAATAGTCTTTAAGTGAGAAATGATACAGGCCTGAATTGCCGCAGTGGCAACAGAAACTGAGGAAGGGATGGATTTGGAAGGTAAAACTGGCAGAACTGTTTGGACATAGAAAGTGAGCTAGATACCCCCACATTTCCATCTTGGGTCCCACTAAACCCAAGAGAGGATTCAGAAGGAGATACAGAATTGGGGAAGCCATTTGAATTCAGTGTTGGATTTGTTGTTGGAAGCTGTTGGAGTGTCTAGCACAGTTGACTATTACAAGCCTGAAGCCTAATAGAGAGGTTAGGGTTGGGGATACAGATCTGGGGCAGTTCAAACCAGGCACATGGAAAAGATTGACAGATATTGTGGAGGAAGAGAAATGGCTGAAAAAGACCAGTTGTGGTTGTTTCCAAGATTTTACTCCCAAGTTTTTGAACTTATTAAAGTGTTGGTCTGTGCTTTATTGTTTAAAGT